CTGTTAGGAAGAGGTTCTGAGAAAACGGAAAACTGCACTGGTTTCCGAAAGGCCGGGGAAGTTGTGGGGAGCACGCCTTCCTTCCCATCAGGACAAGGCACCCACTCCTCCCTGAAGGGTAATTTCAGTCTTACCCCATCCAGCCTACGGCCCTTGTCTTGCGCCTTCAGATTTCTTCTTGTTCCTAAAAACCAAAGACCATTTCAGAGGCACGTGATTTGAGCCTCTCAAGGATGCCCAAACTGCTGATTCGACATGGCTTGAATCAAAAAGCAAAGAAGGCTGTTCGAGACCGCCGCATCCTGGCGTGTGTAGTTTGAGGGAGGTGTGTCGAGAAGCACAGCCTCACGTGTGGATGCTGCTTGGGGTTCCTGTGATCTCTTGGCAGTGCTTTTGGACACGCCCTAGTATTCCTAGTATTTTTAACATTTTGCCCAATTGATGTACTAATTATAATTATGACTGCTTTTCTGTAAAACACAGAGACCAGTCTCAGGAAATAAGTATAATTTAAATGTGTGTTCTGTTGTTGATATTGTTGACAAGCATGTTCGGGTAACCAAGTATTAAAAATTTGCTCCTTTAGGATAAAATTATGTGAAATGAGGAGGGAGATCGGGTTCAAGGAGGAAAAAGCAAAACAGAACAAAAACCCCTATGTAAACTGCCCAGCTCCTGATGAAGAGGGTGTGCGTGTTATTGATACTAAAACCAAACCAAAACGCTGGCCTCAATCCCAACTCCTAGCAGCCCTGTCTGTCGGAGCAGAGCTGCCCCTGTGGGTCTCCAAGGCTGTACGTTTTTACAGGGACAGCAAGCCTTGTCTTCCTCCTTGGAGCCACTGGTGGAGTTGAACTGTTGACCTTTCAGTTAGCAGCCCACGTAACCCACCGTGCTGCCAGGACTCCTATTGACGGTGCTTGTCCGATCATGACAGTATCTAGATTCTGATGACCGGTGCTTTGTTTTTAAACTACATGGGTAATAAGACACTTGCCATTTCTGCACTCCATTGATCAGCTTTTTTAGAATGTATTTAACAGCTTTATTTGACAATGTATGAATGGCGATTGTACCCATGGACTGTATTTACAATAGGCTGGAACACATCATTTGAGATATTTACATTTAAAATAGAACTTCTAGAGAATGTTAAAAGGTATACTGAGGCTGCGATGCCCGGCCCCCCTGTGTTTTGTTTCATAAATAAAGTTTTATTGGAGCAGGGACCCACCCTGTCCTCCATGGCTGCTTTTCCGCCCTCACAGCCCAATAGAGTAGTGATGGTGGGGGCCCAGTGAGCTGGCACACCAGAAATAGTCACTCTCTGTCCCTTTAAAAAAGAAGTGTACTTACTCCTGGGAAACAGAATTTTTTTAAATCATTTTATTGGGGCCTCATACAACTCTTATCACAATCCATCCATCCATCTATTGTGTCAAGCACATTTGTACTTTTGTTGCCATCATCATTCTCAAAACATTTGCTTTCTACTTCAGCCCTTGATATCAGCTCCTCATCTTCCCCCTCCCTCCCCGCTCCCCACTCAGATACAGAGATTTTTTTATTGACCTTTCCTTGAAATCGAACATCATACAGAGAAGTGTATAGAACCGTCAGCAGGCACAATGCAAACATACACTCCTGTAAACAGCATTCGGGCAAAGAACTGGAGTGTCACTCACAGCCCAGAAGCCCCCTCGTCGTCGTCGCCCCACTTAAGGAGAACTGCTACTGACTTACCACCCCAAAGGTTGCTGGGAGATTTAATTTTTGTAGAGGGGAGAGGTTGTGGTGAGCTGCTCCTGACTCCTGGCGACCCCCCAGGTGTCAGAGTAGAACGGGGCTCCCTGGGGGGTTCTGGAGCTGGCTTGTCTGAAGCAGGTGGCCAGGTCTTCTGCCCAGGCACCTCGGGGTGGACTCAAGTCACCAGCCTTGGGTTGGTAGCCCAGCCCATCAACCATCGGAGCCAACCAGGGACACCTAATGCTACTTTTTTGAACAGTGACTTGGGGTATAAAAGAAAGTGTGAGTTCCTGTTTGTAACCTACATTAAACCACCCCACCGTTTGGGGTGTTCTAAATTTAGTTTCGTTACACAAGATGCAAATAGGCTCCATAATCGCCTACCTGCCCGTAGACTCAAAGGCCTTGGAAGGGCACAACCTAATCTGTGTGGTTTTTGTTTTTGTCCTTTCCACAGAGAAGTTTCGCTTTAAGTCATGGATGGTACAGGTCAGTTCTGACTTCTTCTTTCCTAAGTTTTACATTTCACAACTTTCCTATGATCAGCTCAAGCTCAACCAGAACTGAAACTGTTGGGGGCTGTTGGGGGGGGTGGGGGGCTTCTCATCTTGACAGGGGTGGGGGCGGGGCTTCTCACCTCATGCCCCTGGTTTACCGGCACCCTGAGAAGTCCCCAAACCCTGGGAAAGATACGGTTCACTTCTCCCTGACCCTGGTCTCCCAGATCCATGGGAATGTTGCCTGGCGGCCTTTCAGACCTTGGAATCCGTTTCCTTATTTTGCTTCCAAATCACAGTGTGTGCGGATTGCCAGATCACTCGTAGTCCATGAGAGCATTTACTTTTGCAAACCGGTGCTTTGGTCCGTGAACTTGGCCCAGGGGCAAGGCACTCAGCAGTCTCTTCACCAGGGCCCCTTGCACTGTCAGCACTTGAAGGCAGCTATGAGCCCCCATTCTAGCCTCGGTCCCTGGAGGCTTGGGCCAGCTTTGCCCTGGACAGCCGAGACCCAGAACGTAGACCCTCTCGGTGATACAAATGTGGGTCCGAGCCTGGTGGCAGAGGGAAAACCTCCATCCCTCCTCTTAGAAAACGGGAAAGCCTCCCTCTGAGCCACAGCCTGGTTTTGTGACGGGTCGCCCATGTGTTTCTGTTTTAGCACAAAAAGAAATACAGCGCGGAAGAGTACCATCGGAGGCAGCAGGTCTTTGTCAGCAACTGGAGGAAGATCAATGCCCACAACGCCAGGAACCACACGTTCAAAAGTACCGTGGGGTGCCTCCGGCCAAGCCTCTCGGGAGCAGGGAGGAGGGGACAGCTCAGATCCGGAGGGAAACCAATTAGCTGCACTCGCTGATGAAGGGGTCTGGTGGGACTCTTGGGTGGACAGGGCAGAAACCCAGGCTCCCAGGTGGTGCTCAGTCCCAGCTGTTATTGGCTGCCAATCCGTCTTCTGGAGGTTGTAAAGTTTACCAAGCTGTGTAGAAAGCACCCGCAGTATTCCTGCCCTGTGAGGGTTGAGCCCAGATGCTGGCCTCTGACCTTGAACGACTTTGTTCAAGAGCAACCTCGAGGGTCATCTGCCTTTCACTGTCAGTAAAGAGCACGGTGGCCACCGCTGACCTCCCCTGGCTTCCCGATTGCCAAGAGGCAGGGCTCAGGCATGCCTCCACACGCCATCTTTCCTTACCTCTTCTGACACCAGCCGGTCCTCCCACGACGCTCTATGTCTGTGCTGCGTTCAGTGACTAGTCGCAGTGGCCACACAGACAACTCACCATCTGGGGCTTGTTCTTAGGGAAGTTAATAGGTCATTACGAGGCAGCCTCAGTCCATGGTCAGTGGTCCACAGCAACACCTCTCCTCGGCCAGCAGCCACGTCTTTCCTTCCTCAGTGTCTCAGCCACGTGGTCCCTTGGCCTCTGCCTCCAGGAACCAGGAGGCCCACCTGCCACTCTGTCTCACAGTCCCATGGTCTCGGTGCTGCTCCTCTGACCCTGTGCCAGTCTCTGGTGCCTCTGGTCTCGGCCCCTGCCACTGCAGACAGATCTGGAACCTGCTCTGCCAACAGAGCTGGGCTTTCTCTCCTGCCGCTGCTTCAAAGATGGCTCGTCCTTCCAGCCAGGGGGTGGTAAGGACAACTGACCAAGCCCCTCTATCAGTGTGAGGCCTGTCCTGTGTGCATAGTCCCACCTAGTCATTTCTTGGGAGTTTGAGACATGGATAGAAGAGCCGCATTAAGAAATTTCACTCCACCACACACCCACATAGAGCCAAGACTCTTATGGAGAGATAGGTGGCAGTGCCACCTAGGTTGGTCATGTGGGCAGTAAGCACAAAGGGAAGAAAGCTGGGCTGGAACACCAGCCACTGTCCACAATAGCTGTGTGACCTGGTCACTTTGCTGCTGTATGTGGTGGGATTGATTCCAAGCCAAACTGAGTAGAACTGCCCTAGAGTTTCCTAGGCGGTCATCTTCACAGGATCCCTGATGGCACAGTGGGTTAGGAGCTGAGCTGCTAACCACAAGGTTGGTGGTTTGAACCCACCAGCCACTCCTCAGGAGAAAGACGAGGCTGTAAAGAATTATAGTCCCGGAAATTCAGAGAGGCAGTTCTACCCTGCCCTACAGGGTCGCTCAGCACCAGTGAGTTTGGGTGTCTGAGATTGACCTTCACAGGAACTGAGTGCCAGTTCTTGTCTGCTTCAGAGCCGCCGAGGGGTTCAAACCAACCTTTCCATTGTGGCACCACGGTCACCTTGTGTAGGAGGGTCGTTAATGCATCTGCAAGTGTACACGAGGCAGAGTGGCGATGATGGCGAGCCTCTCCATCTCTGGGCTGTGGTGAAGGCGGTTGTATCGGGTGGAAAGGCACCTGGCACCCACAGGCAGGGCTTACAGGGCGCACTGCACCTTGGGGGCATGCAGACTGTAAAAGCTCCCTGGAAGATGTGATTGTACATTCAGGGCAGCCAGCCACCAAATGAGTCTGGAATTGTAGGGCCTTGACATCTGAGCCAGGAGCCCTGTAGCGCATATAGTGCGTTGTTCATCGCTGAAGCGTTAGCTGCAAGGTCAGTAGTTTGAGCCCAGCAGCCACTCCATGGGAGGAAGATGAGGTTGTCTGTTTGTCTTGAAAACTCTAAGGAGCCGTCCTGCTTGGTCCTACAGGTTCACTTTGAGTTGGATTGACGCAACCGCAGTCCATTTTAAAGCTCACTCCATCACACGGTGCCAACTGAGAACAACCCTGTCGCCCCAACTTCCTCCCAAGGTTGGAGCCACCAGCCTTGTAGTTAGCACCCCGACACTTGCCTGAGCGTGCCACCAGGGCCCCTGTGGGTGGGTGAGTTGGTGTATTTAATGGGGAGCCAAATTATGGCAAAAGAGCCCAGACAGGCTGTGGGAGAGCACTGGGCTACAAACCTCAAGGCCGAGGGTTCAAACTCACCAGACCCTTCAAGGGAGAAAGATGAGACTGAATGGACCCGTAGGGTTACAGCCTCAGAACCCCCGGGGGCAGTTCTACGCTGACTCGAGGGGTCAAGAGTACCCCAGAGCAGCGAGTTGGTCTGGGGTCAGGTGCAGCGACTGCAAGAGCTGGGTGAACGGGGGGCCATCGCTTTCCTTGTGCTCATTAGCGCTGCGCTTACGTAAGGTCAACTAACTAATTATAAACCTGCTGGGGGGTTTGTTCCTCAGTGGCCCTGAACCAATTTTCAGACATGACCTTTGATGAAATAAAGCGAACGGTTCTTTGGTCACAGCCTCAGGTATGTATTACTAAATCTGAATCCTTTTCTCCCAAACCTTTGAAATAAGTTTGCAGCCGCATTCTTGGGGAGCCAGTGAGGTTGACCCCCAGCAAAGGCTCATGGACCCCAAATTTAGTATTGCCAAATGAAACACAGAGCTGATGATAATTTAGTACAAGTATATCCCAAATATTGTATGGGGACATACTTACATTTTTTTTAAAGTATATGTTGTTTATCTGAAATTCCATTCTAACTGTATACAATGGATTGAATTGCATTTCCCCAAAAATACGTGATATAAATTCTAACCTCTATGCCCATGGTTGAAAGGAGGGCTGGTGGCATAGTGGTTACGAGTTGGAATGCTAACCTCCAGGTCTGCAGTTCAAAACCACTAGCTGTTCCTTGCGAGAAAGACGAGGTTTTCTTCTCCCATAAAGAATTATAGTCGCAGGAACCCAGAGACAGTTCTACCCTGTCCTGTAGCCAGGCTTGGGTTGTCTTTGTTATGTTAACGAGGCAGGATTAGTGTAGGGTGTGCCTTGGCTCAAACTCTTTAAAGATATATAGATGAGAGATAGATGGACTGATGGAAATAGATCGATAGATAGGGGTGTGTTTCAAGGTGTAGAAGAGATTAAACAATTAAGCAGGAGGAGATAGGGGAAGAAAGCGGCTACACCACATAAATATCTCCCAAGAATGGAAGTTCAGGAGAGAGGGACCTTCCTCCTGAGCCAACACAGGGACAAAGCCATCTCCCTGAATGTAAACTTCTAGCGCTTTAAACTGTGAGAAAATAAATATCTGTTTGTTAAAGCACCCACTTGTGGTATCTCTGATATAGGAGTGTCTTCCTTATTCAGTGCTGCTGTGACAGAAATGCCACAGGTAAGGAGCTTTAACACACAGACCTATTTTCCCATCATCTCAGCAACAGGAAGTTCACCTGCAGAGGGCAGCTCTGTCCACCAGTAAGGTCCCTCACCCACTTAGCATCTGCTCCTGGACAGTTTTCATTTGGCTTACTGTCTCTCTTCCTCCACTGGGGAGAAACCAGCTCCCCACAACTAATCGCAGGTTTGGTAAGCACATTTATCCGGCCGGCCGGGTGTTTTTGCCCCCTTTGTTTTTTTACTTCAAAATAAGATATGTGCAGTGTGCATAGGAATTTGTTCATAGTTTTTTTTAAACTATAGTCCGGCCCCCCAACAGGTCTGAGGGACAGTGAACTGGGCCCCTGTTTAAAAAGTTTGAGGACCCTGCTCTAGATGGCCGACAACCCCCAGAGAGAATATCCCCTGACCCACTTCCGTTGACCTCCAAGTGTAGTCATTCGGCATGTGTAGCACGCAGCTAGGTTTGGCATATATTTGGGGGAGACAACTTGGGAGAAATCCTTCTGTAGCCCACACTCCACCTCTGCTTGCTAGCTTGTGTTTCTTTTGTTTAAGTTTTTATTACCATGTAAAAATTATGTAGGGACATTCTTGCTCTTAACTTTCTATTGTGCATTGGGCAAAGGTTTATAAAGCAGCTCATGTACCCACATTTCATTCCATGTCACTAACTGCGAGTCCCACAGTGACCGTCATGTGTCCCCCTTTCTCTCTGTGGTTCCTATTCCATTCCTCCTTATTCCTTTGCCCTTGCTTAAATGCTGCCCTTCACATCTCAACAGGGGAACCCTGGTGCCCTAGTGCGTTACGTGTTTGGCTACTAGCTGCAAGATTAGCCCTTTGACCCCCCAGCCACTCACTTTGAGGGAGGAAGATGAAACTTTCTGTAAAGAGCTATATGTATCATTTTCTACCTATGAAATCCAAGAGCGGTAGATCAATAGAAACAATAGAGGTAGATCAGTAGGTTTGATAATTGCCTAGAGACATGTCAGGAAGAGGGGTGGGGGGATGGGGAATGAGCAGCAATGACTATGAGAAGAAAATGTTCTGAAATTGATTGTGGTGATGATTGTACAAGTCTTAATATGATTGAATTATTAAATTGCATGATATGTGAAGTATATTCTAATAAAACTCTTGAGGGGCAAAAAGAGTTGCAGGTTCAGAAACCCACCAGGACAGTTCTGCCCTGTTGTATAGGGTCATTATGAGTCAAGTGAACGTGAAGGCCACTGGGCTGGCATTTGTTTAAACTCGGATAGCAAAAACCGAACTCACTGCCGCTGGGTCAGTTCTAACTCAGAGACCCTACAGGGCAAGGTAGGGCTGTCTGTCAGAGGAGCAGCCCCGAACAAGTCATCACAGGTCTAGTAGGTGCAATTGTACAGTGATAGTCAGTAAATATTATAGTAAAGTCATAGATAATGAGAGAGAGAAGAGAGAGGGAGGGAAAGGAGGACAAGGTGAGACGGGACAGGGGAGCAAGGCCGGGCGGGGGGAGAGAGACTTCTTTACTGCTAACCAAGGCTTATGTATCTTTGGGGCGCGTGCAAGCCCCCTATTTACAGGTGAAGATTTATGTCACAGGAAGGTGTTGTGCTATATAGGTAACATAGTAATGGGAGTATACATGCAATAGGAAGAGGAGGGATTGGGGGTTTACATGTGACAAGGTGGGAGGATCCTAGATTCAGGATGGCAGCCTAACTTTGGATGTCACTGAGCAGGTTTGACCTGGTCTCTGGATCTCCATGGAAACCATTATCAGTAGGGTGTAACCCCACCTACAGGGACCAGGTAACTTCAGGGAGAATATCTCTGAGCATCTGACCTTCCACCACGTGCTGGCAAACAGCCTCTAATGTTTGGCATATCATTGGGGGAGACAACGCTATCCCCCAGTTGTCCCTGTAGGTTCCAGGTTGTAATTCTCCAGGAGACTAGGAAGCTTCTTTGTCCCTCAGAGCAGCTGACAGTTTCAAACTGCTGACCTTGCAGCTCTCGGCCAACTCTCAATCACTACCCCCCCCCCAGGGCTCCTATCTTTTAAAGAGAGAGTCTATTCAAATCCTGCCTCGTGGACATAACAGAGACCAGTCCCAATAGGTTAATCAGCGAAGGAAGGAGTTCCGCACAGCTGTCCAGCCAATTCTGACTGCTCGCGACGCTCTAGAACAGGGCAGAACACACTAACCCTGTGGGTTCTCAAGACTGGAGCCCTCTTTCCAGGAGTAGAAAGTCCAGACCTTTCTCCAGAGGTCTGCAGGTTAGGATTTATCACGCACGAGTCAGGGGACAAAGTCCAATCCATAACAAGCAGTACTAGGTAACTAAGACAACGGGCTTCTGCCTTCTGATTTGCTAAATCTGCCCACCTAGGTCCCTGATCTGGGCTCTTCAAGGGCCAGATCACGTGGGAGGGGAGGAGGCTGGTTCTGACTTCCGCAGTCTCTCATTCGCTTTCTAGCTGATTTTCGTTGGTTTATGTTATCGTTCTCTCGTGATTCCATGTAATGACATGACTTTGGGGGTTGTGGTGTATTTGGGGGTTTGTTTCTGCAAACCCTGCATTTGGTTGTTTCAGAATTGTTCAGCCACCAAAGGTAACTACCTTCGGGGCACTGGTCCCTACCCAACCTCTGTGGACTGGCGGAAGAA